AAGGCACTTGTTACTACTAGTAAGGCACTTGTTACTACTAGTAAGGCCCACTAGTAAGGCACCTGTTACTACTAGTAAGGCACTTGTTACTACTAGGAAGGCACTTGTTACTACTAGTAAGGCACTTGTTACTACTAGTAAGGCACGAAACTGACCGCCTCAAAGTGCCCAAAATCTTCTGCCCATTTTCTGCAAGATCCACCTGATCCAATCGCACGGAAGACGGTTCCAGCACCACCATGGCAAACAACCAAGCTCACCTTTGGGAGAAGGTAGTCAAACGGTGCATAGTCAACCTGCAGGGAAGAGTGTTCACAGCTCTTCCATCCCAAGAACGGGGAAGCTCCCTGGAATCACTTTTGTCGAATCACTCTATTCAATCAAACTAACGAAGGCTTCTGAAATACGTGAGAGTCAACTCCGAATGGATTATGTCCAAAAATGACTGAAAACTTGCACTACACCAATTGGTACGGCAAAATGCAAAAGTGACTCTAAATTATGCCCAACACTAACACAAAAACTGTTTTGGGGAAGAATAAGAATGATGCTTTGTCTGTCATTATGGCTTCAAGTTGTGTCATCCTAATTATTCGTTGAAGCTGTCTTGGTTTTCGCCACCACTGCCACCACCCGACCACCAACACCACCACTGAGGTTCTTACTGATTTGCCTTTGCCTTCCATGGGTGTCCTATTGTCTTTGGTCGTGGGAGTCGAGCTCATCCGTTGGTTGTAAACAATTCACCACTTATCCACTGGTCTCTTTGATATCTAAGAGCAATGTATATATTGGGTCTATCCTATTACCTGTAACAGTGGATGATGATGGTTAGCAAAGGCCTTTCTCAAAAATAGTCTGTACCGACTGTTACTGGTAATGGGCTACACCCTATGTATTTATATAGTATATATATAATGTCCGTTTGCTTCCTTTTTAAAAGAAATTCAGCAATTAGTGATTACAATTTACTATTGAAGTTTCCCCAACTATTTGCAGAGAGAGAGAGAGAGAGATGTTGTCAAATCAAGGTCCAACATTGAAAAAGCCAGCCTGGAAAACTCCTTTCTCGATCTCCTGTCCTGGCTCACCACCGTTGAAGTCAAACGTGGAGGTGATTAACTGAGCAGAGAGCCATTCACCGCGTTTCGGCACTATTCTTGTGAAGAGCGTGCAGCTAAAGCGAATCGGCTTCGAGAGCACCAAAACGCCAAGAGTATGCAGCTAGAGCTGAAAAAGAAACAAACTGATTGCGATATAGGCTGTTCAAGTCAGAATGTGTTGTCTGCCTTTTCAGTGTGCCTTCAGGGTGTCTGGGACATGAACTGTGTGTGTGAAGTCCCTCTCACTAGTTGCACAAAATCTTGCAAAATATCTGTCGAGCTGCCTGTTCCTTCCTCTTCTTATCAGAGATCCAAAGGACACTGATGCCAAGTCTCTTGGCTGCTTGGATGAACGCCTCTTCCAGGGTCTCCACGCCCAGCATAGATCCTTGAAACTGAATACTTCAAGGGTAACGGCGGTCAACGGGTCATTTTGGAACACGCGATTAGGGTCGTTTTGGAACACTAATAACAGAGTCCATTCATGGTCACTTTGGAACACAGAACACATGATTAGTCAGAGTCGTTTTGGAACACACAGTCAAGTCAAGTCCGCCTACGGTCATTTTGGATCATCCGCCGCAAGGTTTCTCTTTTTGCACTAGTCACCTGTAAAAGTCAGATTTCAAGCAGGAAATCGGAAAGGTTGCAGGTTTCGCAGCCCAACCTCTCCCCAAGGAACACACCAACCGTAAAGGACCGTGAAAGAAAAGGATAGAATCTAGAAAATGCCTTTCTCCTACAAAAATGGTATGCTCCAAGCTGGACGCTGCAATTGCTCCTTTGTGTTCCAAACTTTACCCTCAGGTCGCCACAAACGGTATGCTCAAAGTTGGAAATGCTCCTTCCTGCTCTAAAGTTGACCCTCCAGTGGCCACAAAAAGTATGCTCCAAGTTTCAAGTCCTGTTCTATTCTACATTTTACCACAACACCTAGAGAGAAAAACAACCACGATAAACAAATATACCAGCATAGACCCCAACCAGATTCAGCAGGCTGTTCTGCATTAATTCCTTGAGTTCCAACGCGCCTCCAGCAGTTTGGGAACAGCATGTAAGCAAAAAAAAACCACGGCACCCCCCAGGACAAAGCCTGCACAGGCCCCGGACAAGGAGAAGAAAGAGTCCACGGCCAAGCATGGACACACAGACCCGGACAAGGCCTGGACCACGGCTATCGTGGCCAGCCCTTTTCCCTGAGAAAGAACCCCAACAGTAAACTGCTTGAGGGAAAAAGAAACACACGCACCACAAGAACATAAAAAACTTGAGGCCGAGGGTAGGTGACGAAAGCTAGCAGGGGTGCATCCG